TCAAAAATGTCGATTTCCAATTCCACCAAATGTATGTACCAGTACGAGTTTGCACATCATGAAGAAACTTTTGTCCTGTCGCATCGAAAAGTATTGTGACCTAAATGAAGAAAAACAAACGCTACGTCTTAAATATCAAAATATGGAGATTATCGATTTTTTCCAGAAAATTTTTGAAGATTTCTGTTACTTCCCAATCGAAAAATAAGCTGTTTTTTGAAAAAAAACTAAAAAAATCTTTTTCATCTTTTCTCGTTCTATTGGTTCTCTAGATCGCATCTCCAAGACTTCTCAAAGAAGCATCATTATAGCCAGTAACTTTTTTATTGTTTGAAAGCTTATGTCTAGAACTAGTCCCCTCTCGTGATCCCCTTTTTTAAAAAAGCCATTTTATTTTCATATAAGAAAATACTTCTATAAAAACAGCGCTATTTTTTATGGGTTTTTTTGAGTCATTAAACTTGTCATCTCTTTTCTTCGCTTAAAAAGTAAGAATTTAGAAAAAAGAACCATGAGAGGGGCTAACCCTAGACACAAGCTTTCAAACGAAAAAAAATTAAATGTATAGAATGAAGGCCTACAGAAAATTCTTGGAGATACCAAAGAGCTATTTTTGACCCTTGTTTGGTGAATATCTATGTCAAACGTCATGATATAGGGTTGAAAATTTTACTCTAGCCAACGTTCACCAGTCCCAACATATCTTGAAAGTTTCATGCAATTTGGATGTCCCTGGGCTGAGATTTATTTTTGAATGGTGGAGAGCTCAAATAAATTTCATAAACTTTAAACTTACCCATGAATGATTGTAAAGATGAAATTGTAAACCTTTCAATAAATCATCAAAGATCATACGTGCTTTGTAAAGTTGTTCAATATTTGTTCCTCGAATTGTAATAAGAATATTGGTTTTATTATCTTTCATAAATGGTTTTTTAAATAAATTTATATTGGGTAAATCTGGATGACCTTTGATTATTTTTATAGTTTGTTCAATTTTATAATCAATAGCTTTTGCAAGTGTTTCATTGAGTAGAATTCGATGAGTAATAAGAGGAATAAAATGAAGTTGATTTAATCCAATATTTTGAATGGTAAGATTATCTAATGAATTACACATGTTAATAGCTGTTACAATTTCTCGAGGATCATTAAAATGAATGAATGCAACAACACGACCGTCTTCAGTTGGTGAACGAAGTTCAATAAATGGTTCAGAAGTAAAATCATTTCGAGACGTAAAAAGTGATCTGAGATTATTCAAAGCTTTTTCATTTTCATTTGTTATTATTCCAGATCGATTTGAAAAATAGTTTTCCGATAATTTCTTACGAAATACTATTACATAAGTCATAGAATCACTAATACGATTTTGATTAAGTTCTCGATTTAGAAAATTTTCATCAACATGAGTTGGTAATCGATAGAGTTTTATACGAAATTCATCTTGTTGTATTTCATTTCTTTTTGTTGTTTGTTTCATTTGTCGTTTTTCTTGAATTATAAGACTTAATTTTCCTGAACCGGTTGAAATTTTCATATTGTTAATGTCACTGACAGCTGTTCGCATTTCTTGTTCATCAGTGAATTGAATATAGGCTATAACATGACCATCATGAAGAATTGGTTCAATAAAAATCGATTCCGATTGAAACGATGAATATTTAATGAATAGATGACGAAGAAAAGCTTCAGTTTCAAAAGGCGCTGTCTCTATAACATTTTTGCGAGTTCGAAGTATTATTACATGAGTACAACCGATGAAAATTGTTTTTAAATTAACTTCATCAAGATCTCGAGGAATATTTCGAACGTATAGCGAAGTGTTTGACCTCCGACTTGGTTCGAATCGAAATGGATGATCATATATATTTTCTATTGCCTAGAAATTATTAAGAATTGCATCAAAATTTCAAATATTTCTTTTTACTAAAGCAGTAAAATGATTCTCTTTTTCTAGTTGTATGAACAAATACATCCTTTTTTTTTCATTATTCACATCATTCTATTGATGAGTTCAAAACTTTCGAATATTTTGGCGAAGTATACTTGTTAATATGGGTATTAACCTATATAATAAAAATCTGAAAAGCTACGTTTTTTAGTCCAATTTCCGAAACATCAAGTAGAAGGATGAAGATAAGAGTTGTGAAAATTTCGAATAACAAACCTGTTGAGCTTGTTCAACAGTGTCAAAATCGACAATCGCACGCCCATGATGAGGTTTTAATGGCCAAGAACATTTAATTATTGGATTGATAGGATTCATTTCAAATTGACAGTTAAAATGATGTCGTTTCGTAAACAACTGATAGGCTTGTTTTGCTGCTTCAAGATTGTTAAACACTACACGACCATTACATTCAGATTCAGTCATATACCATTGAGCTTTCAACGTGTAATTCGGCTTTTTTGTATTGACTATCGTACGTATATAGCTAGGACTTGCATGCAATTGATATCCATTCCATTTTTCATGTGACAATTGAGCAACAGCCGTTCGAGCTTGACTACATTCCATGTAAGTAACAGAAGCTGAAGTGTTATTATGATTTGTTCGAATTATTGTTACATTTCGAACTATAATATCAAAAATAGAGAATAGATTATGTAATTCAATTCAAATTCAAATTCATTTATACTTTACCCTGTCCGTATAATTCACACTTTTCTTGAATTTGTTCTTCAGTTATAGTTTTCGGTAAATTTGTGAGCAAAATTTTTACATATTCATCATCTACCAATACTAATCGAGGTTCAGCACCTGCACCGAGTAAGATTATAGTTGAACCAATAATTTCGAATTCTTGTAATTCATTATGTAATTTATCTCGTTCTCTATTTAAAATCTCTTGAAGATATTGTTGAGCATAAGCAAGTTTATCTGTACGACCCCAAATAGTTAGTTTTGATTGTGCATGATCTACTTCAAATAAAACATGTAATTGTTCTTCAAGTAGTGGTACTTTTCGACATCTTTTTCCAACAAGCGAAAGTAAAAGTGTTGGACCAAGATTAACAAATGTATAACCTTCGAATACACATTGTGAAGGTGAACGTTGTAACGAATTGAGCCAAGATTTATCAAGCCAATCAAGCTCAACTGGACAAATTACAGTTAGAAAATTAGTTTCGTTAATATTAATTATTTCATGATAGAGAATAAATTTTGGTGGTTGTTGTGCAAAGATAACTGTCGATGATCGATGTATATGTGCGACTGTATCTATAGTGTCAACGGCTAATTGATATCCAGCACGAATAGGACCATTTGAAATAGCTAAGTTTTGAAAGAATCCTGCACATATACAATGTACGATGCGTTTGACTAATTCATCATTTAATTTAGTAAAATGAATTTTAAATGTAGGATCAATTTGATATGCTAATTCTCGAACGACATTATTTGCCATCTTCATTGATTTCCAACTTATCATATGCTTAAGACACCAAGCTTTTCTACGTTCTTTATTGTCACCTAGAGCATACCATTCGAGAAAAATACGTAATAAAATTATATAATCACCACCAATATCCGTATCTTGAATGAATGAAGCTCGTATTTCATCACTTAATTGTTTCGATTGATCATCTTTGCTACGCCACCAGATATTCTGTACTACACTCAACATGCCGGCAAGAGCAAGTATATGATTGAGACAATCGAGTTGTTGTCCCGTTAAAATCATAACCGAAAGCATGGGTTCAAGGCCGAGTTTGGCTATATTACGACCCAAATTAGTCAATTTGCCGGTTTTCAAATCTAGTGCACCTAACCATGTTAAACATTTGACAGTTTCTTGAAGACTCTTATCTGATGGTGGTTCTAACCAGTCGAATTTTGTAATATCATCGACTATATCAAGATATTTTAATTTAAGTACAGCTATACTCGGTTGAATACAAAGAATTTCTGCTCGAGAATAAACTTCCAATGATTGATAAGTATCATATGCATAAAGATGATAACACTAAAAAGTAATAAACAACTTATAGAACTAATCACTAAATTATAGAATTTACCTTTCCAGCTGATGTTCGTCCAGCTCTACCACGTCGTTGTTTGATTGAACTCTGTGTTGTATAGCCAATTTTGAGTACTCGTATATGACGTTTTGAATCCCACATGACTTCTTTAACCATACCTGAATCTATAACATGTCGAATTCCATCAATGGTTATCGATGTTTCAGCAACATTAGTCGAAAAGATAATTTTACGTCGTTCATTGTTGGTCATTGGCATGAATACGAGTTTTACATCATCTTCACTTAATTTACCATGTAATGGCAATACAAGAGCTGATTCAGGTGGATCGATTTTTCTGGTTACTTCATCGATGGCTCGATCAATTTCATCTTGACCGGTAAGAAAAATAAGTATATTTCCAGGAACTCGACTAGCATGAATTTCAAGAACTTTGTTTATTGCCTCGTCAACATGATTTTCAGCATCTTCCATAGCATAAATATCTTCGATGGGAAATGTTCGACCAGGAACTTCGATCACACATCCCTCATCGTAATATTTACTTAATAATTTATCATCGAGAGTCGCCGACAT